GAGGGTTGCGATCCGTTGCCGGTCACGAAAAAAGACAAAAAAAAAAAGGAAAAAATAAATATATAAATAAAATAAATGCAGAAGTATCTTTGAAACAGCCTAAATGTTAACTTACCATTCTAGTTATATCTTGATGGACCAAAGAACCAGGATAAGTTTCAGACTTATCTGTAACAAGGTCACTTTTACAAATGCCTCATTGAAGCAAGAAACTCAAATATAATGGGTAATTTTTTAATAAAATTAAACAAATTTATCCAAATAAACAGTGAAGGGAAAAAGCCATTTAGTTTCAATCATATTTTCATGACAGATAAGTACTATATATAGTAAAATGCTTTTTGTCTGAAATCACTATCGAAGTCAGTATAAGGTTTGGGTAAAATTCCTTTTCTTCATTTTTAATTCTGGCTCACTTCAGCTTACTCTGTTATATTGCACTTTCTAGTCTAAGAGAAACAAATCTCAGGTCCATGTGGTCTGGATAGCATTAAAGCTTCAATCCAGGGCTTCTTCCTGCAACAACTTCAAATAACTCTACAGAAGAAGGGTCAAGGGTCATTGCCCATCTAATCTCATGTTTTTCACCTATCTGTGTGTAAGGAACTATGACCCAGCTACCACCTTGGGAATCCTGAAGCTGTGTCCACACTCTCCATCTTCAGGAGATGAACACATAGATGGTCAGAAAGAATGTTCCAGAGAAAGATCAAATCCCACATCCAGACTGAGTCACACTCGTTGAGGTTCTCCAAGCCCAAGAAAACAAAGGTGCCTAAAGTCTCTATTTGGGAGCATCTGTGGGCATAGCAGAACCACCCCAGTGTGTGCAGAGGGAGAAGATTCCATTTGTTTCTCCGAGGCTATTCCGCTATTCTTGGTGGGGGACTTGCCATTGCCAAGTCAGTCATACGACAGCTTTGAATGTATAGGACTTTTGAAAAGTGATGTTTTGTTCTCAAGCCAGATCAGTAGTTTTGCATCCACAGTCACACTCACCAGAAACACCACAGGAGGCCCGCCGATCAAGGCTATGGCTGTTGAGAGCTTGCGCTTGTTGCCTCCACTATAGTTACTGGCGTATTTTTCTCCATATTTCACGAGGCCCAGTTTCCGAATCGCCCACTCACCAACCTAGAGCAATGAAAAGCACCTTTACTTTTCTCTGGCTTGGTAATTTTGTCATGTTTTCTCATACTTTTATATGAAAGTTTTTTCCCTGTGTAGGACTAGATTCTATCATCATGACCTGGCAACTGCTGAAGAGCCAAAAGTGCGGAGGAGGGTTTTGTGTGGTGGGAGCAGCACTTTCTCTCTGCCCTCTAGTATATGCATGGTCACCCACCCCTGGCCCACCACCGCTATGGATTCCCACCCTGAGAGTAGGCACAAAGAGCCAGAGTTTCAAACTGCTGCATTCATGAGGAAAAACAGCCTGAAGTCAATGTCATGTGTGAAAAAGCCGTAAAGTTTATCATCAGGATGCAAAGCATGCATGCTGGCTTTCTTGTGCCCATAGTACCTTGCCAACTTCTTTCTCTGGGACTCCTCT